GAGACCATTTCTAAATAAAATACAAAACAGAGCTTTGGATGTGGCTTAGTGGTGGAGTACTCCTGAGTTCAATCCCAGGCACCCTCTAACCACTCGCCGCCCACAAGCTCCGCCCCCCCCCCCCAAAGAAAAGGTAAATGTGAGTTATGTGTTCTGTTTTTTGTTTGTTTGTTTTTTGATACCAGAGATTGAATCCAGGAGTGCTTAAACACTGAGCTACATCCCAGCCTGTCTTTATATTTTATTTTAGAGACAGGGTCTCACCACATTGCTTAGGGCCCTGCTTTAGTTGCTGAGGCTGGCTCTGAACGAACAATCTTCCAGCCTCCGCCTCCAGAGTTCCTGGGATTACAGGCATGTGTCACGGCACTCAGTGTAAGATTTGTTACACCAGTTTCTACAGTTCAAAACAGATTTAATAGCTATTTTCTTTTGCAAAAGCAAATAATTTGTATTTAGTTTGATAACCAGATGGACCTGTAATTTCAGTTACTAAGTTCAGCCCTGGGGTCTCCTCTGTAGGACTTCCTATGCTGACTAACAATACTAATGAAAACTTATAGTTACACAGCAACTTATTTTGTACAAGAAACTGTTCTAGAACGCATTCATATAATCCACATATGTACCAATTTGAGACAATACTATTATTATTCTCTTTTAGAGATACCAAAAATTGCTCAAGGTCACAGTTAATGAGTGGCAGAACCAGCATTCAAATGCTGGTGACCTGGCTCCATAATTTTTTGTACTTAATTAGATTCACACTGTACCCCTTCTATTATATTACAGAACAATTAGCTAGCTTCAGAATGAGAAATCAGCGTCAGGACTCTGGGATGTTAATACTGAGTTCTGTATCTGTGACATCTTATCCTGAAAGAGTGGAAACAAAGATCAGAATCAAAACAAATCAAGAAGCAAGCTCAGAATTGGCCCCAGTTTATATTAAAACTCAACCGGTTATGACATTTAGTCTAAAAGCTGTGCACAACGTAGAGAAAGTATCAACAGACATTTAATGAGTTAATATGTTTATGAATCTCAGAATAAATATAATGAATTACATAAAAAAACCTCAAAACTCAACTGGACCCTTAACTCGTCATCTATACTGTATATTAACCAGGAGAGCTGCCAGAACGATGGAACCTAAACCCAAACAAATGGATTTATTAGATACTACTTTCCCTGACCTTTTCAAATGTGAAAACAATTTGGAGTTAGTGTATTAAATTATCCAAAACAGATCTTCAAAATGCATTGTTTTACATCCTTTTAAAAAACAATGGTTCTATAGGAAAAGCTTTTTTGTTTTTTTCCATCCAAGTTTACCATTTGATGTTTCTAAAACTTTAAAACCTATTGTGTGGGCTTTCACTTCAGCTGAACATAATTCTGCCAAGAATTTGCAATTAATATCAATTAAAGCACAACTTCCTTTTAGAAAAATAAAACACCTGATACCATATTCCACCCAAGTATAAGCAAAATCTGATCACATAAACTTTAGGAAGCAGCCTGTCTTCAGTGTTGTAATTGCATTCTGTGACTGCTTTAGAAACCATAAGAATTACATATGGTCTTTCACTAGGATAATCCAACATCTCAACATAGAAGAATTTTTATTATGATCTACTTTGTTATAATTGGATTTCATTATACTAATAAAATGAATTCAACTAATAAGAATATGACTAATTGTGATTTCTGATCTACTTTAATAATAATAACATTACTGTTTGCAATAGTTAAAAGGCTTTCAATGGTTTCTCACACGCATGTTTCCTACTGTTTTATATCTTAGTATGTCCCAGAACATAGGGATTTAGAAGATAACATAAGAAGACTAATATCTAGATGACATAATGAAGCAAAGTCAACTCTAACCAGTTTGCCTGTAGCAAAAGTCCATATTTCACTAGATTAATTAATCTTTATTAAAGAGACTTATATGAAAATGCCCAAACTACTAGGACATAATAATTTAAAGTGAAGAAGCTGAGAAGCACAATATCCACAATATTTTGTCTCACTGTAGATTCACAGTAAATGTGTGTTGAGCTGAATTAAAATCTCTACGTTAGGGCTATGGATATGGCTCAGTTGGTAGAGGGCTTGCCTCGCATCCACAAGGCCCTGGGTTCAATCCCACATACCACACCACACACACACGCTCACACACCTAAAAAAAAATCTATAAAAACAAACTATACTAGTCTTCATTATTTTTCATGATCAAGATTCTAAATACTGAATCTAAATATTGAAGTAAATCTAACAGTCACTTCTTTAAGAAGTGGGTGAGGAATGAGGGTAAGATTAACCCTTTCAAAATAGTTTACCTCAGGATTACACTCACCCAGATTTCTACTCTCAGTTCTGATACACTTCACATTCTGTAGGGCTACTGTGATCAGTCATGTCACTAGACATTTCAAAAGAAACTGAGAGATCATTTTGGAAACACTGGAATCTGGAAGCCCTTAAGAAAATTAGCACACACATATACATAAATAAAGATCATTATTATTAAACACAAGTGATTTATATTGTTAGGAAGTTAGGCTTAGTGTATTTTTTTGTTTGTTTTGTTTTAAACAAAGTCAAGAAACTCTCATTTATCTATACAACTACGGAAGGAAAACAGCCTTTCCTTTCCTAGTTATTTAAATTTTTTGGATTACGTAGGAAAGGAGCTGAGACAGGCTTACCACAGGAAAACAAGTCAGCAGCACTCTGTTTTATGACATGTCCCCTAGGCTACTCATCGGTCAACTCCTTGAGGAAAGCCTTTGTCTGGGCATACCTCTGAAGCTCAGGGCATTTATTAAGTTTTGGGAATTTCCTCAGGTAGTAGAAACACAGAGATGAAGAAAGCATGATCCTTGCTCTCAAAAACTAAGTTAACGGACAGGATTAATTATTTAAAAAAAACTGTAACTCAGTGTGGCATAATGTGGTAAATATTATACAAAAGTATAAGCAAAAGATTATAGCAAAATAGAGAAGAAATGACTACCTCCTGTTATCTAGAAAAATGACTCTTACATAGCTTGATTTGAACATTTAACAAACTTTGATTAGTAGGTTAAGATTCTAAGATGCCATTTTTTATAAGACTCTAAAGACAGAATCTGCAAATTAATAAGCCCCAAATACTTTCTGGGTATAAAAAGATTGAGGGAAGGGTTAAACTCTGAAAATGTTCCTTCAGTCTTTAATGGGCTCCTCAGTGTTCTCAGGGTCCACCATAGGGACTGGAATTAGCAAATGCATTCCAGGTCAGTAGCAATCCTAAAGGATGTCTTTATTCCCCCCTCAAATCTCCATCAGCCTCCCCCCATCTTATCCTGAATAAGCATTTAATCTAAATAAAAAGGGGGTGCTTGCTATGCAAGTAGATTCAAGACAGATCCCCTCGTATTAACCGACTGCCTGGTCAACAATTGGAAACCATGAGCATTTCAAGCTTCTGATTTTAAGAGGTACCAGTAACTTCTCCCTCTTACAATGCTACTTGGCAGTTCATAGTGCTGCTTCTTCATGTTAGATAAGCTCCTTTCTGTAAGCAAGAAGCATACATTTTTGGTACAATTCCCTCTTCATTCTATAAAGATAGATATTTCCCTTCAATAAATTTAGGTGAAGACAGTTTTCCACTTGAAACATTTATTACATGTTAATGAATAAGAAAAGGAACAGTTGATAACTTGAAAAGAGTAACAAAGCAAGAAGTCCTTTTTTTTTTTTTGGTAGTTGTTTAATTTGAAAAGAAACAATCTTAGAAGAAAGTGTTTCATGACTCCTTAAAGTAGCAGTAGAATCCTTTCTGATTTACATACAGTGCTGAAAAAAATTTATCCATGAAATTCTATACATAATTAAAGCTTTGTTAATAACATAATATTTAAAAATTTTTAATTGTGGTAAAAACAACATATAGCAAAGTTTACCATTTTAGCCATTACTAATTGTCCAGTTCTATAGTATGAAATATATTCATATTGTTGTGCAATCTCTAGAACTTCTCCATCTCGTAAAACTGAAATTGACCCATTAAATAACTTCCCATTTCCGACTCCCTCCAGCTCCTGGAAACCACTCTTCTACTTTCTATTTCTACAAATTTTACTACTATAGGTAACTCAGTAAGTATACAGTATTAGTCTTTTTTGTGACTGTCTTATTTCACTTAGTGCAATGTCTAAAGGTTCCTATTGTAGCATCTCTCAAAATTTCCTTCCTTTTTAAGGCTGGATGATACTCCTCCACTGTATGTATATACTAAATTTTGTTTATCTATTTGCCATTGGACACTCTGGTTGTTTTCACTTCTTGAAAATAGTAAATAGTGCTGCTATGTATATGGGGGTACAAAGAAGTCTTTGAGATTCTATTTTTCAATTCCTTTGGACATAGATCCAGAAGAGGATTTGCTGGATTATACGGCAATTCTATTTTTTATGTTTTGAGGAAACTACACCCGGTTTTCCATTGTGGCTGCATTATTTTACACTCCAAGATAACTTTTGGAGGGAATTAAATGAGTTTTACCTAGAATTATTAGTCTAATTAGAATTATAGTAAATTATCAGAATTAGAATCTTTATAAGAAATAGTATTTTGAGGAAAATTAACAACAAAAATTCACAGTTTTAGATTGTCTGAGACATAAAACCCTGCTTTACCAACCAGGTGGGAAAGGCACTGACTCAGATCCTGATGATAAGTGATAAGTGATAATATTTTCACTGTTCAGACACTTTGGCACTAGTTCAGACACTTATTGATTTTAAAGATTATACACTACAGAATTCTTTCCGGCCATTTATTATCCTACTAGAGATAATACCAAATCAGTTTCATGTTAAGAAAAAAGTACTCTACAAATTAAAGATTTCAAGATTAAAAAAAAAAAACTTGAACACACACATACACACAAACACATACCCACACATATGTAGATTCGTATTATCAAAGATCACAAGAGAAATTACCTGATGGTTTCTTCATGATATAGAGAACTAACAACTGGCCCGCCAAAACCACTATTTGCCTCTTTTCCTTTCTTCTCTGGTATCTGTGGGAGGGGAAAAAAATGAAAAAAAGGCATACAGATTAAAGCAAAGTATATTTAAGCCAGTTGTAAAACATTAATTTGCTTAAGGAAATACCAGAACTTCTATTCTCAACCATTTCTTCAAGTTGTAAGAATAATTTTAAGGTGATACGAGAAAAGCGACAGGATCCTCTGGTCAGCAACAGAATAGGTACCCACTGGTTATTTAAGGTCATTCAGTTTCACTTTTTGGAGCCACCTAAAAGCAATCCCCTAGGTGACTATGGGATGACGTTCAATGTTGAAAACATGGATGTTTATGTGAAAGCATGAAAATGAAATATAAATACTAGATATGAATATGATCAGGAAAATCATATCTAGATTTATAAAATTAAAGTTTACAAACAAGAACTAAACTATGGTAAAATTTCAAATTCAATCATAAAGAAAATATTTTTAGGTAAAAAGAAAAAAGTAGAGAAGGTAGAAGAAAGAGGAAAAGAGGTTCAGATATATTTTAAAAAAGAAAATAAAAAGAAAAAAAGAGCAAACTACCATGGAAACATTTTCTAAAATCAGCACACAGAAGTTCAATCCATGTTCTCATGATTAGCATCCCTGGCCTTCTTTACTATCACAGTGGACCAGGGACTGAGTACCTCAAATCTCTGAAGGAACCAAGAACAGCCCTGGATTTCTGGTTTGGTCAGGTTGTTATTCAGGACAAGAATGGTGATTTACTAGTTCTTTACATGTCAGGGATGAAACAGTAAGCTCCATTATCTTTTTTTTAAAGAGATTTTAAAATGGGTGGGGGAGGGGACTTTTTGTCGTTACCCATCTATTCAGAACTTCTAGTACTTTTTATTCCTTTACACAGGTCCAAATTTTCATTCTGAAGTAATTTTCCTTTCACCTGAGGAAAGTTCTTTTAACATTTATTGTACTGCAAATCAAGCTTTTCTCTACTTCACAGGTTTTCATCAATGTAACTAACATCTTGACAAAGTTAAATCTTCTAATTCATGAAAACAATCTGTATTTCCACTTATTTAGGTTTTTGTTTTCAATATAGTTTTCACTCTACAATCTTTCACCTCCTTGGTTAAAATTATTCTTGAGTATTTTATTCTTTATTATCTCTTGTTTTGATTTGCCTGAAGTATTTTGCCCTCACTTTTTTTGTATTAACATGAGATTCATATAACATAAAATTAACTACTTGAAAGTGTATAAATGAGTAGCATTAACATATTGACAATGTTGTGCAACCACCACCCCTATCTAAGTGGGATATTCATCATCCCAAAGGAAACTCTGAACCCATAAGCAGTCTTCCCCCACCCCATCCCCCAAACACTGAATCATCAATCTACCTTCTGTCTCTATGGATTTATCCATTCTGGATATTTCATATAAATGGAATCATGTATAATGTGATCTTTTACCTCTGGCTTCTCTTGCTTAGCATGTTTTTAAGGTTCATTTATATTATGGCATGTTCTTCATTCCTTTTTATGGTTGAGCAATATTCTATGCTACGTATATACTACTACCACATTCTATTTGTTCATTCATCAGTTGCTGGACATTTGGGTTGTTTGCACTTTTTGCCTATAGTGAACAGTGCTGCCATGAACATCTGTGTACAAGTATTAGAGCACCTGTTTTCAATTCTTTTGAGTATATATCTTAGGAGTGGAACTGCTGGATCAGATGGTACTAACTTTCTGAGGAACTACCAAACTTTTCCACAGTCACTGCAACATTTTACATCCCCTTCAATAATATAAGATGCTTTCTTCACATCCCACCAATACTTATTGTTGTTTTTATAAAATTATAGTCATCCTACTGGGTATGAAATGGTATCCCACTCTGGTTTTAAGACACCTCTCAAATGACTAATATTTCATATGATTATGGGCCATTCTTTTTGGAGAAATATCTATTTACATCCTCTACCCAGTCATTAGTTGGCTTGCCTTTGGGGAGTTACTTACATGTTCTGGATATTAGATCCTTGTTGAATATACAATCTGCAAATATTCTTCCCATTTCTTTTCACTTTCTTGACAGAGTCTTCTGAACAAAAGTTTTTAATATCTATGTAATCTTATTTGTTAATCCTTTCTTTTGTTTCTTGAGCTTATGCTGTCATATCTAAGCAGCCATGGTCAAATCCAAGGTTATTAAGATCTACTCATATGATTTCTTCAAAGACTTTTATAATTGTAATTTTATTAATTAAGCTGAGGATCCATTTTGAGCTATTTTTATGTGTATGTTATATGACAGGAATGCACCTTCATGCTTTTGCATATGGATATCCAATTGTCCCTACACTGTTAAAGAGATTATTCTTTCCCCAATGAATGGTTCTGGTATCACCCTTACTGAAAATCCACTGACCATAAACCTGAGAGTATATTTCTAAACTCTCAATTCTATTCCATTGGTCTATATGTTTACCCCCCTGCCAGTTCCACACTACTTAACTGTGGCTTCAAAGCTTCCAATTTTTTTTTTTTTCCAATACTGTTTTGGCTATTTGACACCCTTTGTAATTCCATATGAAGATTAGCTTTTCTATTTCTGGAAAAAAAAAAAGATGGGTAGATTTTGATAGCACTGAATCCACACAGATTTGGGCTTAACTAACATCTTGACAAAATTAAATCTTCTAATTCATGAACACAATATGTATTTCCACTTATTTATGTTTTTGTTATCAATATAGTTTTCACTACACAATCTTTCACCTCCTTGGTTAAAATTATTCTTGAGTATTTTATTCTTTTGTGCCACTATAAATGGAAATATTTATCTTCATTTCCATTACTGGAGAGTCCACTGCTGGTGTATAAAAACACAATAATTTGTGTATGTTGTTCTAATATCTTGCAAATTTGCTAAATTAGTCATCAACTCTAGTAGTTTGTGAATTTTCTGAATTTTCTATATATAGGATCATGTCATCTGCAAACAGATAGTTTTTACTTTTGCCTTTCCAATTTGGATGCTATTTAATTCTTTTCTTAGCTTGAATTTACAGTACAATATTGGGTTCAATGGTGAAACCAAGCACTCATGTCTTATTGCTAATCTTAGGTAGAAAGGTTTGAATCTTTCAACACAGAGTACGATGCCACCTCTGAGTTTTCCATATAGGCTCATTATCACATTAAACAAATTTCACTTTCATTATTTGAAAGCTATTGTAACTGGGTAGAAGATAACAGACTGATAGTCTTTTCCTTATGATGTCAACCTGTTGACCTCAGACCTCTGTAAAGAAATCTGGTGTAGTTCTACTTTTGTTCCTGTCTCATGTTTTTTTTTTTTTTTTTTTTTTTTTGGTCTGATTGCTTTCAAGCTTTTCTCTATTTCACAGGTTTGCCCCCATATAATGAGGATGATGTGGTGTTGGTATATGGTTTCATTATGTTTCTTTCTTTTTTAAATTTTTTATTTATATATGACAGTGGAATGCATTACAATTCTTATTATACATATAGAGCACAATTTTTCATATCTCTGGTTGTATACATAGTATATTCACACCAATTCGTGTCTTCATACCTGTACTTTGGATAATAATGATCATTACATTCCACCATCATTAATAATCCCCTGCCCCCTCCCTTCCCCTCCAACACCTCTGCCCTATCTAGAATTCATCTACTCCTCCCATGCTCCCTCTCCCTATGTTTGGGGTTCAGTGAAGCTTCTTGGATCCATGGGATTTTAGCAGGGATTCTCAACAAGGGGAAACTTTTAGTCCTCCCTGCCAACCCTCCAGCATCGCTGCCACCTCCCCACCCTAGACATTTGGCAATATCTAGGGTAGTTTTTGTTGTTACAACTAGGCAGCACTGTTGGCATCTAGTGAATCAGAACCAGGGTTGCTGCTAAATGTCATATTTTGCAAAGAATAGCCCTCTACAGCATTGAATTTTCTGACCCCAAATAGCAATGTTTCAAGATTGAAAAACTCTGGTGTATAGTTTTTAGCAATGTTTAGAATTTATGATATTATTCATTATTATTAGTTTTTGTTTTCTCCTCTCACTGTCTTTCTGGAATTCCAAATATATGCTACTTTGCTTGATATTTTCCCATAGCTCAATGGATTTTCTTCATTTCTTGGTTAGTCTTTTTATGCTCTGTACCTCATTTTGATTAGTTTCACTTCAAGTTCACTGATCTTCTCTAAGCAAGGCCAAAATGCTGTTAATCCTCTCATATATTTTCACTTCAGATAATGTATTTTTCCATCTCCAGAATTTTCAGCTTGGGTTTTTTAATCTTCCATTTCTCTGTATTTCGCTCATGTTTTCACCCACTTTCTAGAATAAGAATGTATTTATCGTAAGTGTCTTCATGTCTTTGGTATTTCATCACCTTTTCAATTTGGCATCTGCATTTATGAATAGGTTGTTCTCCTGTGTCATATTTTCCTGCACCCCCCCTTCCTGCTTAAAAGACTGTCAAGCCAGGCATTGTATATTTTCAACAATGTTTTCTGGATTTTTCTGTGTTCCTTTAAATTATATTGGTCTTTATTTTGGCATAAATTCCTTGGTATCAGTCTGATCCTTTGGAATCTCATTTTTAAGCTCTGTTAAGGCAGAAGAGCAGTCTTTAGTGTAGGGCTTAATTTAGCACTTACTACTAAGGTGAAACCTTTCTGAGACCTCTACCATACATCCCATATATTTTTTTGCACTCTGACTTGTAGAAACAAAATATGCTATATCAGTTCCAGGAATTGTGCAACCTACTGCTTTTCTGTGATTCTTTCCCCAGACTGTTAGTTTTCTTCTCATAAACACAGAGACTAGTATTCAGCCAAAGGGATCAAACATAGATCTCTGGAACTCTCTATCTAGGAACAACTTCTAATATTTGGCCCTACAAATTCTAGCTCAAATCAGGGAGATTGCCAGGCAATTTTGGGTTCCCCTCCATACAGAATAGATTGGAAAAAATGCTTCCAGGCAATCTACTTTGGCCAC